CTATGTCTTTCTTGCCCAAATGTATTAATGTTCCAGGGCCTTGGCTTCCCCGTCTACAAAATGAAGATACTTCCTACCTTGCAGATTTGTTGTGAGAATTAAATAAAAGAATATATGCAACTCCCCTAGCACAGTGGTCCCCTCTTACCTCACTCTTAACTTGCACACTTCTTAAAGGCCTTATATTCCCCATAATACCATGTGCAGGGTCAATACTTAGATCTTGTTTATTGTGTTGGTTAAATTGAGTTTGTCTTTAATGCATATAAAGTTCCAAGTATAATTATATGCACTTAATTGACTAAAATGTGGACGACAGGGCCAGAATAACAGTTTAGCGAGATTACTCCACTGGGCTCCCTTGATAGTAAGTGGTACAGTTAATGAAATTTGTAAACATTCTTTGGAGTGAAAGTTATATTATGAAAGTGAAGAAACGCATTTATACAGCCAACCCTGACACAGACAAAAATTATTTAACAACATGTTGTAAAAGAGATCTGTAATTAGTTTTGAGGGGGAAGAAATCACAAACCGATATGAACAGGTAAGCCTCAACCATTTTATGATAAATGACTTATATGATGAATAAATTTATAATAAAAATGCTAACAAAAATTTACCAGTTACTGCTGGCTTTTATTTAAGATTTTAAAAATATATCTTCTAGCTCCTCTGATTGCTGAGCATACTACATATGCTTTAAATTTCAGGAATAATAAGAGAAATACTAAAAATTCCAATGAATATTGGGCTTTATACCTCACAGATAAACGTACCTGTATCTTTTTTTTAAGCCAGTTTCTGTCTCTTTTTTTTCCTTCTTTTTTTTTCTTTTTCTTTTTTCTTTTTTTTTTTTTAGAGAGAGGAAGGGAAAGAAAGAGGAACAACGGGAAACATCGATCAGTTGCCTTCTGTACCTGCCCCCACCAGGGATCAAACCCACAATCCAGGCAAGTGCCCTGACCAGGAATTGAACCTGCAACCTTTCGGTGCACAGGATGATGCTCAACCAACTGAGCCACTCTGGCCAGGCCATACCTGTATCTTTTTTATGCCTAGGAGCCCACATCCCTCCAGCAACAAAGGGTTGAACAGAGACAATCTTCACTTACTGAGCTATCCCACAGGCCAGGTGCTTTCACCTACATACTCTTGTTTAATCTTCACAATAGCGCTGTGAGTTAAGTACTACATACCACTTTTTTACAGAGGACGAAACTGAAATTCAGACAGGGTATGCCACGTGTCCACATCCAGTAACTGGGGGAACAGAATTTTAACTTCTGACCTCCAGTGTGAAAATATGACACCATCTTACTCAAAATAAATAAAAACAAAATAAAAATACATACTGTCATATCGGGCACAACAGCAAACAAGAATATTGCCTCTGATTTGTCGCCAGATTCTGAATACACATTTGAAAGTCTTTCAACTTGCTCCAACTAAACATGAATAAGTGATCACCATGAAGATGGACTTATGGAGCTTGATTCATCTCACCAGAGGCCTTCGGCTCATTTACACTCATGACTTTATTTATTCAAATAATTTGCTTTTTTCTGGGGGAGAAAAAAAAGGCCTGCAGACCATCATCCCATCACCGCTCTGTGCAAAAAATTCCAGCATAAATAATGTCAACAAGAATCGTTGTCTTTAACAAACTCCAGGACACGTCACAGCACTGTTTATAAGATGTAAACAGGGTCTTGTTTTATTTCACTGTTCTGCCGAATTCAGTTGTTTGCTTCATTTTAGATCTAGGCCCCTGGAAGAGCTTCCCGTGCTTTGTTTAACACTGCCGAATGTGCATATTTAGCGAGGCACTCGAGACGGCAAGCCTGGAACATAACCTAGATGATGTCCATTTAGGAATGGATGATTGAAGGATCCTGGGGTGGCTGCAAGCTCTGCTCAACCAATGTTTCCAGCTCTCTGACTTCTGCCCTCTTGCACTGGGTAGGGCCCGGCAACCAGCTACGGCCTTGGGATGGTGAGCAGGAGGGCTGTGTGTGGCTTCCAGCCAGGCATTTAATAAAGCCATTGGAAATGCCCAGAGCACTCACCCCTCTGTGGAGGTGACAGGCAATATTCCAGTCTGAGGCTGTACTGCCAGTGTGGGGTCCAGAGAGAGGACAGTGACAGCACAGAGCAGCAGCACCCCACCCCCGCCAACCGGCAATGGGTGCATAGCATGAGGAAGAAATACATCTTTGTTAGGATGAGCCCTGAGATTTGACAGTTGTTTGTGATCACAGCATAAACTGGCCCCCCTGGCTCTATACCCCACCCAAATGGCATCATGAAAAAGGGCTTCATGTTTCTAGTGATAAGTTACAGATTTGGGAAATTTAGTATCTGATGCTAAATGTGATTATCCTGTCAGGGAAAGGTCTCTCAGCCCATAGTTCACTTGGACCCAAATCATGTCCCAAAATCTGAATTACATAGGCCAAGCAAAATTGAAGAGAGAAAGTTACAGCTGTAACCTTCTGAACTGTCAGTTCTAATATACTGATCTGTCAAAGTTCTTAGTTGTAAACAATAGAAACCACTCTGGCTAGTTAAGTAGAAAATAAATTGATTGAAGATTTATTCACTTACAGAATCTTAAGGGCAGAAATACCACTCTACATGCCAGTGTAGACTCCACAGCCCCACCGCTGGGCACACACGCAGGGCTCATTTCACCACCTGGATGCTGGGTGCTTCTGCTGAATCTCGGCCATCATGCTACTCGTGGTCCTTGTGCAACTCAAATTTCTAAGGTACAATCCAAACTCTCATGTAGGTGTTTCAGAATGGTGAGGCCTAAAGTGCACTAGGCACAAGGAAAAGTTGGAAAAAGTATTTTTTGGCTTTTTTCTGAGGAAGGTGGAGAATTCCTCAACACAAGAAGGAAATTCAAAGGTGTGATTTAAAAAAAAGAACAATAAATACCTACTTCGTCTGTGGGAATGGGTACTATGGACAACTAAGGTCTTCAATGCTTATGTCAGTTCATAAGTTCCAAGAGCCTTCCTGGTTTCCACAGCTCTTCCTTCAGTTCTACCCCAGGACCCTTCCAATGGATCCCTGTTTTTACTAGTTTCAGTTGGGTTCTGTCACTTGCAACCCAGAGTCCAGATACAGATGCAACCAGACTTAAAGAATCCGAAACTATGCTGTAACCGGTTTGGCTCAGTGGATAGAGCATCGGCCTGCAGACTGAAAGGTCCCAGGTTCGATTCCGGTCAAGGGCATGTACCTTGGTTGCGGGCACATCCCCAGTGGTGGGGGTGCAGGAGGCAGCTGATCAATGTTTCTCTCTCATCGATGTTTCTAACTCTCTATCCCTCTCCCTTCCTCTCTGTAAAAAATCAATAAAATATATTTAAAAAAAAAAAAAAGAATCCCAAACTAGCAAGTTGCAAACAGGGCTTGAAATATTCAGATGCTCTGGAGAAGCTGTGTGTGTGGAGGGGGTTCTCT